ACCCCTTTAATCATTCTCCTAGCTATCATTCACATGCTCTCCCATCCATTCTCTCCCTATATGTTCCCTCCACTACTCCTATAAATACCCTTGCATTCATTCGTTCATTCATCATCTCATTTCATACACAACACACCACAAACACTTCCATCTTCTCCCTAGCCGTGAGTTTTTCTTCCATTTCTCCTCCATTTCTTCCATTTCCATAATCCCCCAATCCATTCAACACACCTACAACATCCCTTAGTTCTTGTGCCACAATAAAGAGGAAGATAAGAGGGCCTAAACGTTCATACAATTCACGTTTGAGTTGTTGGAATGTTTACGTGTTTCTTTGATTTCAAAGTTTAAATTCAATTCTCTTTGTTTTGTAATATGAGGAATGGAAGATAAGAGGGCCTAAACGTTCATACAATTCACGTTTGAGTTGTTGGAATGTTTAGGTGTTTCTTTGATTTCAAAGTTATGAGGAACTAAACCCTTTTTAGCTAGGGGTGATTTCAATACCATGATTATTTATGTAATATGAATTGATGAATTCCGGTTATGAACTCTTGATTCGTGAATGCAATTGGCTTAACTATTTGATGATTAACTTATTTGTGTTTGTTGATTGAGGGTCGACACTTAATTAGCATGCATGAATATGTGGCTAAAGTTTAAGAAGGTTTCACATAATCGTTACTAACTTATACTTGAAAGTAATGAAGGTCGCTTGTCACGATCGCGTTAAGTTTAATTCTTAGCATGAGTAACATGATGTCATAGTTGCAAATGCTTTGTCAATGCTTATGGTTTTCATTATTCTTAATGATCTTCGATTGTATCTCTATTATGATGACATGTAGGGAACTTTTGAGAATATTTTGGGTTGTCGAATGATGCCATCCAATCCAATAATATAAGGAAAATCTGAGGGTTAACTAGTGATGTCACGGTTAATTTGGGGCATTGTCGTTCATAATTCAATGAAGGAATAACTGGAAATTGATCCATATGCATAAATATCATGTGTGGAGAAAGAACCTCTAGCTAATTCACCAACCATCTTATTTCATCAATTACATTCTGTCTAGTTATTAACTTGTTTCGTTATTTCAATTTTCGTCAAACCTCAATCCCCCTTTTGCTTTAATGTTCAATATAGTTAGAAATCAATTTAGTTTGTGTTTTTAAAGCATTTTGATTCTTTTGGTTTGTCTTAGTGTTTTAACGTTTAGTTTCACATTCTTTGAGTCTAGTTTAGTGTTTTATATTGTTTTTACGTTTTTAAGTCAATTTAGAAGGTTTTAGCAAGCCCTCCTAATCCCCGGTCTAGAACGATCCCTCACTTATCCATTCTACTAATCCCCGGTCTAGAACGATCCCTCACTTATCCATTCTACTACAATTGTCAAACGAGGGTTTAATTTGAGTGTCAAGTAATTCTCGCATCAAAAGGCAAGTTCACCAAGTTACCTTTTTCCGTGTCTACTTCCAAATCAGTCATTTATTTTGAAGTAATTCATTCTGATGTGTGGGGTCCTGCCCCTAGTATGTCTTTAGAAGGATATAAGTACTATGTGTCCTTTATCGACGAGTGTACTAGATATACTTGGATCTTCCTCTCATTAATAAAGTTATTATGTTTGATATTTTCGTGCAATTTCAAGCCTATGTTTCAAACTTCTTTGCTACAAATGTTAAGATTCTACAAGGTGATGGTGGTGGGGAGTATATGAGTACTAAATTTCAAAGATTTCTTAGCTTAAAGGGTATTATTCATCAATTGTCTTACCCTTATACCCCTGAACAAAATGGCTTGACCGAGAGAAAAAATCGACACATTGTTGAAACAGTCATTACTCTTCTTCAACAAGCTTTAATGTCTTCTAGGTTTTGGTATCATGCATGTGCTACTGCCATCTATCTTATAAATAGGATGCCTACATCTATTCTTGGTATAAAGTCTCCATTTGAGGTTCTATATCACACTCCACCAAGACTTGATCATTTAAAAGTCTTTGGTTGCCTAAGTTATCCCTCAATGAAACCTTATAGATCTAATAAGCTTAAACCAAAAACCATGGAGTGCATTTTCTTGGGGTACGTTGCCAAGTACAAGGGGTATATATGCTATGATGTGCTCAAAAACAAGTTTATTGTTTCTAGACATATGTTATTTGATGAAACACAATTTTCTTCTTTGTCACATACCACAACTCATTTGTCTAAGTCCTTTGGTACCAAGTCCTCAAAGTTGTCTTCTCCTTTTGTGGTTCATAACAATACTTTTCACCACACTCCAATTATTCCCATTCCCTTCCCACATGTTTTTGTTCCATCATTGAATGTTGCTGCACAACCTATTACTCAGTCATCTACTTTCAACACTGGTGATCTTGTCTTTGACTCAACTAATGCAACATCAAGCTCCACTTCAGCTTCTTCAAGGTTTTTTAAATTATATACAGACACAAATGAGTTACATCTAGATACAACAGTCTCTCAAGCTCCAGATTTACAGTGTGTGAATCTTCCTTCAACCAACAGTCATCCCATGCAGACAAGATCCAAGTCTGGAATTGTCAAAAAGAAACAAGCTTTTCATATTGTGTTACATTCAAATCCAGATATTGAACCAACTTCATTCATTGCAGCATCAAAGTCAGTTTAGTGGCAACATACATGGTCCTTGGTTCCCTTGCTTCCCAATAAGAACTTGGTAGGATGCAAGTGGATTTACAAGATCAAAAGAAATCCCAATGGTACCATTGCAAGGCATAAGGCTAGATTAGTAGTCAAATGTTACCCTCAAGAAACAGGTTTAGACTATCATGAAACCTTCAATCTGGTAGTAAAGCCAACCACAGTTAGGGTAATATTGTCTATTGCTAAACCAAATGGTGGAAACTTAAAACAACTTGATGTCAAGAACGCGTTCTTACATGGCTTCCTTGATGAAGAGGTCTGTATGTCACAACCATAAGGTTTCATTGACAAAGACCATCATGAGTATGTATGCAAATTGGAACGATCTCTCTATGGCCTCAAACAAGCTCATCGAGCTTGGAATAACAGTTTACCTACTTCCTACTGTCATTAGGCTTTAAATCATCATTTGTTGACCCTTCCTTATTTGTTAAACATGATGGTAAGTCTATTATTGTGTTGCTGCTTTATGTGGACGATATTATTCTAACTGGTGATAATGATGAGTGTATAGAAACTGTGGTGTCTTAATTGACAAAGGAGTTTGACATGAAAGATTTAGGGCTTCTTCACTATTTTTAGGGGTTGCAAATCGACTATCAATCTTAGGGCATGTTTGTTCACCAGACCAAGTATGTTCAAGATCTTCTAACTAAGACATATATGTTTGATTGCAAACCGTGTATAAATCCCTGTCATCCTAATAAAAAAACTATTGAATCATGGCAACTCATCCTTCTCCAATCCCACTCTATACAGAAGCATTGTTGGTGCATTACAATATCTGACTTTCACCCGTCCAGATATTGCATATTCAGTCTATCAATTTATACATTCTCCTCTGGAATCTCATTTTGTTGCTGTAAAAAGGATACTAAGATATCTCCAAGGTACCTTAGGCTGGGGAGTATGTTTGCGTCCTGGTTCCTTGAATATTAAGGTTTACAGGGACGCTGACTGGGTTGGGGACCCTAATGTTAAGCGTTCCACAACAGGTTTTATGGTCTTCCTTGGATCCAATCCTATTTCATAGAGTTCTAAAAAGCTACACATAGTCAGCAGGTCTTCCACTGAAGCTGAATATCGAGCAATGGCCAATACAACAGTTGAAATTGTTTGGATCCAACAATTGCTCAAAGATCTTCATGTTCACAGTTCATTCCCTTGTCTTCTTCACTGTGATAATATCTCTGCTATAGCTTTGGCTACCAATCCAGTTATGCATTCTAAAGCTAAACACATAGAAGTTAATTGTCATTTTGTCAGGAACGTGTACAATAAGGAGTCATTTCTCTTCAGTTTGTTGCATCTGCAGATATTTTTACGAAAGGGTTAAGTTCTCCTTCATTTACTCATCATTGTTCCAATCTTATGTTTGGGGATTCCCAACATAAGATTGAGGAGGAATGTTAGAATATAAAGGTTATAAGTTGTATGTAATATGACATGTGGCAGTGTAGTAGTGGTTGTGTTATGAGATAGTTATACTAGATGTAACTATAAATAGTAGAAAGCATTGTAATTATGATTTAACAGAAATAGAAGAGAAGTTATTATCAATTTTCTCTCTCTCTAAAATTCTCTCGAGCACTCTCTCTAGGTTTCTTGATTGATTTTCTTAGTTGTGTTGACACATCGCAACTTTATAGCCCGACAATCCGTATTTCTTGTAAAATATCAAATTAGCCAATCAGAGCAATCCCGTCGACTCACCGGAATTTCCAATATTTGATGCACATCTTCAATAGTAAAATGGTCCATGAGCATAGCCTCATTCCATGCCGTGCCATCTAATTTCATTAGCTCCCTCACCATTGTAGCCCGCAAGTTGTTGGATGGCACAACTTATATGTCGGTGGTTTAGGAACCTAAGGATCCTCACAGATCCGGATGCTCCCACCATCCCCCACTCTCCGCCGCACACCCCTTCCCATTACCATTCTCGCTTGAATGAGCCCCTTCCACTCCCAAGAAGAATCCTTCCCAACCTCGCCTCCTGAAATGGCCAGTGAAATATTTGTCACGATGAACCAAAGCAAGTAAAGATTCCGGATTCTTCCAAATTCTCCATCCTGTCTTTGCAAGCATAGCAGTGTTAAAACATTGAAGATCCCCAAATTTATGATTCCGTTAATTTTTTTTTCTTTATTACCCATTTACTAATATTCACATTAGCAAAAGCCAACTTCTTTTTTATATATCTCATCAGTCAAACTTAGTCGTTCTAAATTCTTGATTCTATTTCTCATGATAATAACAACCATTTATTTTGTAGTTCACTCTTTAAAAATCGCATTTGCAAAAAAAAAAAAAAAATCAATCAAATTGAAAATTATTTAACTATTTAATTTACATGGGCAAAACTTTAGTGAGTAACTGATTGAAATAACTGTTAATGACTACTTGATTTCGTATTTAGTTAAATTTTTTATAAAAAAATATCTTTAAAAAATGTAAAGTAATTTAATAGAAAGTAGACAATTTGAATTATTGTGCAAGATTACAAACCGTAAAAAATAATCAAAATATCTGTGTGGGAGAAATATCAAACTATAAACCAAAATCTAGCCGTTGCGAGTGCCAGTGTGCCACTGATCTATTTCTAAAGCTAGAATCGGCCTTCTCTTTGAAATAGGTAATAGTTAGACTGTCTGTTAAAACCCTGAGCCAGATTTTTCTTACCTTTATGAAAACAAGAAATGTAGAAAGATGCCGTTGTCTGCCATTAACAGTCTCTGTTTCCAAAACCAACCCAATGCATCGAACTTTCGTCAGAAATTAATAAATAGAAAATCTAACTCTCCGATTTTCTTCAGACCCCCCATTAACCATATTTACTTCTCGATCCAATCATGTGGTCCTCTCTCACCAAACTAGGGTTTCTTTCCCATTAGTCCCATGAGCCCCACCCCCATCTCTATTTAAAGTCCCTTTAGACCACCATCCCTCTTCACAAGTGGAACTAGGGTTTCTCTTCACGACTACGGTTTGTCTTTTAGTTTGTAGATCTGTAAATGTGAGTAAATGGGAGCTCCCTTTGATTCAAAAGCAGGAGGGAGAGAGGGTCTTACACTGCTGCTGGTTCATGGATACCTCTGGGGTGCGCACGGTAAGGCAACTGCGCAGTATAAGGGTTTGCATGACCCAGGAGATGTGAATTCCTTCTCCTCTCCTTTCTTGGATTGAAGGGAGCTCCGATACTATTTGCCTGTCTTATCTCTCTCATTTTATTTCAATTTATTCTTTAACTTTATGAAACTATATTTATATGTATGTATGTATGTATGTATAAATAGTTCTGACCTGTAGTGTTTTTTGCGAAGGTTTTTGTGGCTTCAGGGTGCGTAAGAAATTTAGCCTGAAATACGTTGAAGGGCATGCATATGCGGACCCGGACGGAGCACCATATCATTTAGTTTCTTTTTTGCTTGTGTAAATCTACGAAAGCCAAATGATTTTTGTTGTCCAAATTTGCCAGGGAATGTTCATGGCGTTTTTCCAGACTGCGTGACTCTGTAAACTAATTAAACAAACACATTCAATGAATTAATCTTCTAATATTAAATAATACTTTCTCTGGAAATCCCATCTTTCTTTTCCGATTACAATGTTGAACATGGCGTTGGCGCTTTCATTTTGTTCTTTTTTATGAAATGAATATTGAATTTCGCTGCAGGTGCCATATTTGAATGCATAGCTAAATATATAAGATTGTCACATCTGCTTTGATGATTTGGTCAATCGCCATTGTCTGCCTGACTCGGTAAAAATAATATTAATCATCTACTTTCTCATACGGTTTTTGATCGGATTATTCAATACAAGCAGAAGGACGACTTTCTCATACCTTGAGAATATACTCTTACGAGCGAGAAACTTTAATTTTTGTTAAATTATAAATAGCGTTAAAAAATTATTTTAAGTACTCAATTTAATTTTTCGTCACTATTGTAACAAGTTTTCATTAACAATGGCAAAATCAAAAGGTGAGTACTCACGAGTAGCACTCTATTTTCTCCTCTTTCAAGGTCCACTGTTGACTTTTATAGTTTTTTAGTATCTAAGAGCATATTCTAAAAAATCCATGACAGACAAAAAAAATACAATGTTACTGTTTTTCCAGCAAATTTTTATGTGGTATGACTTAAAATGACAGCGAAGGTGGTGGCTGTCAATGGTGGCTGTCAAAATTGACAGCAACTTGAAATCCATTTTTAATTGGTTAATAAATGCTTTTCACGATTTTAGCTCTCCAAATATTTCTTACAATTATGAAAAGAAAATAACGTAATGAATAATAGTTTAATTTGATATATAAAATAAAATGAAGAGAAAAAAAATTGTAAAATATAAAAGTACCACATAGGCTTTTAAATTTATATTTTATATTAAAAATTTGACAACTCATTTAAAGATAATCTAACAATTGAATAGTCGGTCACTCTAAATTTAAATGAGCAATTGTTCATTTGGTATATTGACCTTTTCATTTAATTTTTTACGTTTGGTCTGCCACGTGTATTTTACTGGCATGCAAAATTAAAAGTTTAGTTACTTTTTATTACTAAATTAAGATTTTAATTATAGCAACAAAAAAAGTATGACTTTAATATCATTAAAATTTAGGTTTTAGTGTTAAATAGTACACTGGGCAAAATGAAAAGCGAAAAAAATTAAAATAAAATAAATAAACATTTCCCTTTTAAGTTTGACTATGTAAAATAGAGTTTTGATGGTTCTTATTCTGATGTTCTGGTCATATATATATATATATATATATCATCTTTAATTAGATTTTGAGGATTTTTTTATCAAGATCACAGGATTAAGTGATCCAAACATTTGAAATTTATTAAACGGTCTATCGGTTTTAATTCTTTAAAAACTATAATAATTTTTTATTATTCAATAAAATTTCAAATACTCGAATCACTTGATCTGATAACTTTGATAAAAAAAAATCCAAAAATAATCTCTTTTTGCTTTCGAGTACCTTGGTCCATGCTTGTGACCGTTGTCTGTCCATCTCTAGATGTGTGCCCTTTTGCGACCTTCGAGGTGGTCAATCAACCTTTCCCAACTTTTAATAAAGGCTGATTTTTATTCAATTAATTTATTTTCTCAATCTCGAGTCTAAAATTAATTAATTTATAAATAATTTACAAACATTCACATTTTCACGTACTCATGTTTATTCTTAGTTATTGATTTTGTTTAGTTTATTTAATTAATAATTAAAACAGTTTGAGAAGCTAAAAAATATGTAAAAATTATTTATTTTTATTTTCTTATGTTAGTGTAAATATGGTGTTATATTAAAAGTAGTAATATTATAATTACTGAAATGTCAGGATTGTTAGAGCATTTGTATTAGCTTAGCCAACTCCTGCTCTCATTCTCCAAACCCATTAAGTTAATGTCGATAATATCATTTATTTAAAATATATAAAAAAAAATTGCTTCAAGCCATCCTTTCAATCACCTACGAAAAAGGTTGAAGGGTTGATCTGTTTAAGATTTATATGCCAAAAGGGAAATGCTAAGAAGATTTTTAAGAATGAGACTTTTCATGAACTTTCTGCAACCTCATGTTTTGACACAATATTTGATAATATTTCATGAAAATTAAAGTTATACTATAAGGCTGCATTTGTTTGGACTCCTTAGCTAGGATTAGCTAGGATTGGCTTAGTTGCTGTCCTAGTTATTTGTTTGGCGCGGATAAAGGACTAAGGGTGTGTTTACTAATCTGTAATCAAATTGAGAGAAAATGAATTGAGGAGGAATTGAAATGAGACGGAATCAAAATCCGATTCCTATTGAAGTTGTTTACTGAAACTGTCTGGAATCTGAATAGAATTCCATAAAACTGTTTACTAATTTAGCAGAATCGGAATATAAACTAGTATGATTACTAAAATGCTCTTGTCCAAAATCAAATATTTTATATATTTTTTAATAAAATATGATATAGTATATAATAGTAAGAAAAAATTAAATTACTTTTTTATTTCATAGACACACTAAAATGATTTTGTTTATTTTTTTTTGTATAAATTTAAGAATTTACTTTAATATCTAAATTTTCTCGCTTAAGTAGTAGTTTCTTCTTTTAGACATATGTATGGAGTTCTGCATAATGTGAATGAGCATAGAGTTGTGCTTGATGAGCTAGAAGGACATGGAAAGAAATTCTTAGGAGCATTAGTTAACTCTTCATGGATATATTTTGTTACATGATGTCAATGAGGAGAAGGAATGATTTTTACCATTTCAAATATAAAAAAACTTGATTCTCCTTAAACTAAAGAGATTTTCAAGAGGTGGATTTTGTATAATAGTAAATAAATGAAGAAAAAACATTAGGAACAAACAAAGAGTAGGAAACAACTTCATTAAAGTTAATATTTTACATCAAAGTACATCTATCTAACCGTCATAACCAACCTAAACAAACTAGTCCCCTGCCTAGGCATCATATCGTCAACAAAATATTCATAACTTGCCTACACATCAGATTGTCAACAAAATATTCCTAACCTGCCTAAACATCATAATATCAACAAAAAGTAGGTATTCACCATCATGGTGTCATCTAATCAGTCATTAGATTTACAAAACATTGACAATTTCCCTGATATGTTATCATGGTAGCGAGCACATCATAGCAAAAAACTAGCATTCATATTACTAACCTGCCTAAACATCATAATATCAACAAAAAGTAGGTATTCACCATCATGGTGTCATCTAATCAGTCATTAGCTTTACAAAACATTGACAATTTTTCCTGATATGTTATTATGGCAGCGAGCACATCATAGCAAAAAACTAGCATTCATATTCTTTGGACCATCACTTAGATGTCATTATTAAACCTGTAAACGGGTTGGGTTTGGATCGGGTTCTAGCCGACCCGTTAATTTAACGGGTCACCCGAGGCCAACCCGTTAAGCTAACGGGTCACCCGTTTCACCTGTTAATATTTTTTTTTTTTTTTGTATATACATTTCATCCAATCTGTAGAAAGACTCCACTGCCTACTCCGAAGCAGTGGAAGGGATTCTCGATGACAACATGATTCAAAGCTACCTAAAAATGTTCTACTCTGAGGCCAAGCTCCAAAAGAAAGACTCTACTGCCTCCTACTGCTCTTAATTCAACCAATAATTAAGAATTATAACGTTTAAAAACACTTAAAAAAATAAGAAGAAAGGAATTAGGAAATTGCATGTGGGAAAGCTCAAGAACTCCGACCCTCTTGGCCTAAAAGTCAACAGAGCAACCGAGAATAGCAAGAATTCCACACATTGTGAGTGACCAACTCCAAAAAAAAAAAAAAAAAAAAAACAGCAACATGTTGCAACTGCTGCTAGATTGTAGACACCTATTCCACCTCAAGTTGAACCCTACGTGTCCTATCTGCAGAACGTCTCCAATCCCAACATCCTTGTTAACTTCTCTGGTCGAGGTGGTTCCATTAGTTCGCAAACATGACTGATTCAAAGAATAGGTGGAAGGGAATCAGAGCTTACCAGAGAGTAGAGATGGGCACGGGCCGGGCACGGGCCCAATTTTGAAGGGATCAGACCGGACCTGGGTTCAAAGGAAATGAGCTGGGCCGGGGATTACATTTTTTAATATAGGAATCGGACATTACCAGGCCTGGTTGAAACGGGCTGGTTCGGGGCAGGTCCACGGGTCCCCTTTTTTTTTTTTTTTTTGAAAAAATAATAATAATAAAATTTGTACAAATTGCAAACTGCACAAATTTGCACAGATTGCAAACTGCACAAAGTCACAGACTACATTTATGCAGATTTTGCACAAATTCACCATTATTCACATCCAATCTAAATACAAAGTCCAACATCCAAGTTCATAGATTAACAATACATCCAAAATAACAATATTACATCATCCAACATCTAAAAATTAAATCAACATACAAAATATCCGAAAAAGGAATGATTTATTAGATATGGGAATAACTATTGTCCACATTCTCATTCTCCTTATGTGTATAGGATCAAGTGAATGAAATATTCCCTAATGCTTGCAATGATTAGCCAACAAAGGACATCCAGCAAAATTATAGAAAAATTGTCTCTATGCTGCCCCTCATTTCTTCTTCTTCCTCCTCAAAAGTTCCAGATCAAGTAATGTTAAAAAACTTCATGAAAGTTGAAATCGAAACTTTAACATTGGTATTAAGAGTCTATTGTTATACAAAAGTAAGAACACAAGAATTAAGGTGGCTCGACGTATAGCCTACAAGAAATTAACCTAATTCCAGACTCAAATGCATTGAAAGCCAAATTTCAAGCCCAATATCTCTTTCGCGCACCTTCCTTCTGTCCCTTTTCTTTATTTCCCTTCTTTTTTTTTTTCTCCCTAATGCGACAGCAATCAAAGCTGAATTTGATATATAGATGAGGGGCCGAGGGTAAAGCCAAATACTAATGCATATGCAGAACACAACTCCATGCTATAACAGACCAACCAAATTGTTTGAGACTACATATTGTAAAACTCAGAGCAGGGCTCGAA